CTCTTCTTATGTACCTCTCCTTGTCTAATTCTCTTTTTCTTCTCTCTCTCTCTCTCTCTCTCTCTAACGCTCTACTTAATTCTCTTCTTATCTATCTATTTCTCTAACTCTCTCTCTCTATTTTTCTATCTATCTAATTTTCTTCCTATGTATCTCTCCTTATCTAATTCTCTTCTTATCTATCTATCTATCTATCTATCTATCTATCTATCTATCTATCTATCTATCTATCTGTCCAAGCCTATTCATATCTATCTATCTATCTATCAGTTTATTCATATCTATCTATCTGAACCAGCCTATTCATATCTATCTATCTATCTATCTATCTATCTATCTATCTATCTATCTATCTATCAGTTTCTTCATGTCTATGTATCTATCTATTTATCTGAACCAGCCTATTCATATCTATCTATCTATCTATCTATCTATCTATCTATCTATCTATCTATCGCGATCTTTTTTTTCTTACCTCAGAATTGCCCGTGATCAAAGTTACCCACATTTTCGATTCCTAATCCGTCGACCAAAAATAACTGAATTCTTTCCTGGCTAAATTTGTATTGATCTGGATTCATTATAACGTTTAAATTACGAAAGTGCAAATTTAGATTGTAGCTAAAAACCACAAACGCGTCTGTGTAGAGAGTGAGCGGATGAGACAACATAGAGGGAGGGGGAAAAGAGAAAGGGACAGAAAGTTTTAGTGAGTGAGAGAGAGTGTGAGAAAACTGGAGAGAGACAAGAAATTAACCAGAAAAAAAAGAGGAGTAGAAGATACGTGTGAGAAAGAAAAAGATAGCGGGAGAGAAAAAACACAAAGAAAATGAGGAAGAGAGAGTGAAAGAGAGGGATAGGAAAACAAAGAAATGGGCAATGAGTGAGTGAAAGGGAGAAATAGAAAGAGACAGAAAGTAAATGAGAAAAAGTAGGTAACTCCACTGAATTTTCGGTACCTAATGTTTAAAATGCATTTTTAAAAATGAGAAATCATTCTTGAAGATTTTATTTTTGCTTTAATTGAAAGCTAAATGATTATATTTACTATTTCCAGTAAGTAAAATATTATGGAGTATTTTAAATAGAAATTGTATAGATTGGAATTTCAACATTTTGGGGCGTTTTTTAAAATTTTCTTAAAAGCAGCCATTTTCTTAATTTTAAGAAATTTGTAAAAAAAAAAAAATTATCGGTTTTAAAAATCTTCCAAAAATAAAATATATATTTGTGTCAGGTTATTTGAGTAAAATTAGCAAATTTAAAGTTAAATTAATCTGATTTGAAATAAACATTACTTACTTATAGCATAAAAAAGTAATATCCAAGCATTTTTTAACGACGTGTCCTGTTTTTCTTTGATATTTATTGACGTATTGATAAGTTCTGAGGTGATGACAGCAAGTATGGATGACCAGAATTGCCATAAAGGCAGTGTGACAGATGAGGATACAAACAGATAAGTGGAATGGGAGAGAGAAATAGAGAGAAATTAAAGTGAAAGGGAAAGAGAGAAAAAGAAATTGACAGAGAAAGAGAGAGAGAGAGAGAGAGAGAGAGTGAGGAAAATGCAAATGAATGTTAGTTAATGTAGTGTCAAATCAAATAAGGCATCAGAGAGACCCCATCTGCCTTCCATAAGCATGGCTGATGCTAATCTCCAGATGTGACTCGTTGTATTTTCGGCTGACATGAAGTGGAAAGATTATATTGAATCAATTGCTAGGTAAGTCCTGGAGTCCCTGAATGAATTTTTGAAATGATTCAGTCTTTTTCATCTAAACTCCAAATGAATGTGTCATGAGCAATCATTCTTCAAGAGTCTTTCATACTAATGCAAGTGGCCCTACTTTGTTCATATTTTTTTTATCAGTAACGTTCTGGAGTTTTGAACTGATCCAGTTTTTTTTTTATCTAGACGCGAAATGAAAGTGTCCTGAGACATCATTCTTCAAGAGCCTTTTGTTCTAATGCAGGTGACCCCAGAGCTCTGTCCTTGGCCCTACTTTATTCATATTTTTATTAATAACCTTCTTGATGACATCAGCTCTCAACTTGTTATCCCTGATGATGACACAAATCTTTAATCTGCAATATTATTGGTCCGAGCCTGGCATCTCGGTTTCTGTCACTTTCCCAACATCATAAAGTTCCCTTTGCTTCTTCTATAAATAATAAGATATTTATTCTAGAGCCTCTTTAAAGCGTTCGAAAGGGTTTGGCATTGTGGTCTTCTTCAAGTTGAAAAGATCTGGGAACTCTGAATGAATTTTGGAACTGATTCAGTGTTTCTTATGTAAACGCGAAATGAAAGTGTCCTGAGCCGTCATTCTTTAAGAGTCTTTCGTTCTAATGCAAGTGGTGCTACTTTGTTCATATTTTTATCAATAAAGTTCTGGAGTTTTGAACTGATCCAGTCTTATCCAAACGCGAAATGAAAGTGTCCTGAGCCGTCATTCTTTAAGAGTCTTTCGTTCTAATGCAAGTGGTGCTACTTTGTTCATATTTTTATCAATAAAGTTCTGGAGTTTTGAACTGATCCAGTCTAATCCAAACGCGAAATGAAAGTGTCTTGAGTCGTCATTCTTCAAGAGCCTTTCGTTCTAATGCAGGTGACCCCAGAGCTCTATCCATGGCCCTAATTTGTTCATATATTTTTTATTAATAACCTTCTTGATGACATCAGCTCTCAACTTGTTATCCCTTCTGATGACACAAATATTTAATCATATCTCGATAATAAGTCTAATCAGATCGATATGGGAAAATTGGCGACTGATCTAAAAATGAAGTTACAGTCTGTTGTTAACTGGGGCAAAGGACAGATTGTTACAATTAACACCGTCAAAAAACAGCTCTCTATTAATCATCTGAGAGACCATTTTCTGCATTCCATCAGCATGGGCGATTCTGACCCCCGGGAGAGTTACTCGATGCGTCTCCTAAGGCTTCTAGATCTAACTTTCTCGGCTGACAAGAAAGTTTGTTTGCTGTGTCATACAAGACAACTTTTGTCTCTAGAATCTGTCTTACGTATTTATAAGTCTAACTTTCGTCCATACTGCTGCCACATCCGGTCCGGTGTTCCTGATTTATATTTAGGGAGTCTTGATAAAATCTAAAGAAGAATCTGCAATATTATTGGTCCTGGTCTGGCGTCTCGGTTTCTGTCACTTTCCCACCCTCGTAAAGTTACTTCCCTTTGCTTCTTCTATAAATACTTTCATGGTAATTGTTCGTTATGGCTGTTGTTTTATTCCCCTCTCCTTACAGACAATAAATTGTACATATAGGGGACTAGTTAGAACTTCATGGAGATTCTGAGGAATTATGGTGGATGAAGTAAGAATGGTAAGTAAGAATGTGTTGTTTTGGTGCAAGGGTATTGTTGTATGTTTGGGTCAGTGTTTGTGGCTAGCTAAGTTTGACGTTAAGATTAGAGAGCTGATAGGCAGACCCTATTGAAATAATATCGATCAGGAATTAAAAAATGGAAAAGCTAACCTGGCAGGAAATGAATCTCTAAGAGGAACAACAAAGATCCCTTTCTGCTTTAGATCAGTATAGCTGATGCTAATCTCCAAGCGAGTGACACATTGTGCCATCTCAGGCTGATATTCTCGGCTGACATGAAGTGGAAATATTATTTTGAATTTATTGCTCGGTCTACTGCTAAAAATGTTTGTTCCCTGTGTCGTGCTAAACAAGTTTTTTTTTTTCTCACCAGAATCTATCTTAAATATCTATAAGTTTATCATTTGTTTACCCTTGAATAATATCCACTTATATATTCGGTGCTATATATTTAGAGATCCTTCATAAAATCCAGAGAAGAATCAGCAATATTATTGGTCCTGATCTGGCGGCTCAAATTCAATCACTTTCCCATCGTGCCTTTTCTATAAATACTTTCATTGTAATTATTCAGATGAGCTCTTCACTACGGATTTTGTGTGTGTGTGTGGGGGGTATTACTAACTTTATTTTGTTTAGTTTCTTCTAAATAGATTTGTATTCAAATTGTAAATACTCATTGGGACTAGTTTTTAAATTGTTGTTTTATTCCCCTCCCCACCCACAGACAATGAATTGTACATATGGAGACTAGTTAGTATTTTCATAGAGACAATGAGGTATTATGGTGGTTGTAGTAAGAAAGGTACGAATGAATGTGTTGTTTTGGTGTAAGGAATATTGTTTGTCTGATTGGGTCAGTGTTTGAGGCTAGCTAAGTTTAATATTAAGACAGAACAAGACCGTCCTTTCCCCCATTTCCCATTTTGGCCTTGTGCTACATTTCTGTATATACTCAGAATAAATATCGATCTTCACTACGGATTGTGTGTGTTTAGGGAGGGGGGTTATTACTAACATTATTTTGTTTAGTTTCTTCTAAATAGATTTGTATTCGTACTGTAAATACTCATTGGGACTAGTTTTTAAATTGTTGTTTTATTCCCCTCCGTCCATAGACAATGAATTGTAAATATGGGGACTAGTTATGACTTTCATAGGGACAAGGAGGTATTATGGTAGATGAGGTAAGAATGGTAGGTAAGAATGCGTTGTTTTGGGGTTAGGAATATTGTATCAGGTCATCCCATAAGTTCTGTCCGAATTTTGAATAAAGAAAACAAGTGACCAAATGTTACATTTAATTACAGATTCAATCAACAATGTATTTTCCCTGATTATCTATGACTTCCTTCCATCTATAAACAAGCTTACTTATTCCATTCCTGTAAAATTCTTTTGGCTTTGATTCGAAGAACTCACAAATGTCAGTTTTAAACTCTTCCTGTTTTACAAAAGCTGTTTCTTCCAAATGATTCTGTAAGCTACGAAACAAATGGTAGTCTGAAGGAGCAAGATCGGGAGAATAAGGTGGATGAGGAATTTTCTCCCAACCAAGTTCTTCGATCTTTTGTGACGTGATTCTTGCTGTGTGGGGTCGCGCATTGTCCTGATGAAACATCACTGTTTTCGATTCACTAGAGCAGGTCTTTTTTTCCTCAAAGCTTGGTTCAAACGCTCTAATTGCTGACAGTATATTTGAGCATTAATTGTTGCATTAGGTGGTAAGAATTCAAAATGGATTATTCGTTGGCGATCCCACCAGATTGAAAGAAGAACCTTTTGCCCATGAAATTCCCTTCTCGGCTGTGGCTGGGGTCCTTCCCCTTTACCAATCTACTCTTTACGACGATTAACATTTCGATAAAAGATCCATTTTTCGTCGTCAGCCACAAGTCTATCCAAAAACGGTGAAACAAGTTGGCGAGAATGGAGAGAAGAGCAGATGTCAACTCGGGATTTGAGGTTGTTTTCAGACAATTCACGAGGCACTCATTTTCCAAGTTTAGGAACTTTTCCAAGTTGTTGAAGATGACGATGAACAGTTGTATGGTTTGAACTGAGAACCACTGCCAATTCCTCAACTGATAAAGCAGGATTTTCTTCAAGGGCTGCTTCAAGAAGCTTTACATCAAACT